ATCCTCTGGAGGGCGAAGGTGGGTAAATCCTCTGGAGGGCGAAGGTGGGTAAATCCTCTGGAGGGCGAGGGGGGGTAAATCCTCTGGAGGGCGAGGGGGGGTAAATCCTCTGGAGGGGGAGGGGTTAAGTAGACTGCAACTCCTCAATAAATAATTTGAACATGAAAAATAAAAGTTTGGGTTGTTTTTGTTCGTTCTGGTTCTCACCTATTTTAGCGATCGATGCCAACATAATCCACAGGGTGATCTCCAGGGGGATTTTGACGTGTCCGTAGTCCATAGAGATGATCCTCAGCCTGGAGGTAGCATTGTCCTGGAGGACGCCGGGGTCCTTCTGTGCCGGGTCTGTGCCCGTCCCCTGAGGAAGGGTCACCCCCATTACGGACGAGGAGATGAGGAGGGAGAAGAGGAAGACGCAGACGATGTTCAGAACGATCTTCATCCTCTCCGCCCGTCACAGATCGCGCTGCACAGACAGTGTGATCTGCAGACCCCACACTGGAGACTCGTCTCGTTGTTCGGGGAATTGAGATGAAGAATTACAGGCGGCTGCTAAAAACACAAAAAGCCTTCCTGACATTCCGCCTCCCGATGGAAAATTCCACTACCGTCCAATCCCTGGAAATATAAATATTAGAAATCACAGAGGGTCCAGGATTCTGTGTTGTCAGTTCCATCCTCGGATATTCCATTCAGGGATCAGAACGTTCATCTACAGTACTGATAGGTCGATCACATGGCTTTGTTTATAAACATAGGGTCATTGTTAGCAGTAGGATCAGCATTAGGGTCAGTGTTAGCAGTAGGGTCACCATTAGGGTCAGTGTAAGCAGTAGGGTCACCATTAGGGTCAGTGTTAGCAGTAGGGTCACCATTAGGGTCAGTGTAAGCAGTAGGATCAGCATTAGGGTCATTGTTAGCAGTAGGGTCACCATTAGGGTCAGTGTAAGCAGTAGGGTCACCATTAGGGTCAGTGTAAGCAGTAGGGTCACCATTAGGGTCAGTGTTAGCAGTAGGGTCACCATTAGGGTCAGTGTTAGAAGTAGGGTCAGCATTAGGGTCAGTGTTAGAAGTAGGGTCAGCATTAGGGTCAGTGTTAGAAGTAGGGTCAGCATTAGGGTCAGTGTTAGCAGTAGGATCAGCATTAGGGTCAGTGTTAGCACTAGGATCAGCATTAGGGTCATTGTTAGCAGTAGGGTCACCATTAGGGTCAGTGTTAGAAGTAGGGTCAGCATTAGGGTCAGTGTTAGCAGTAGGATCAGCATTAGGGTCAGTGTTTGCACTAGGATCAGCATTAGGGTCATTGTTAGCAGTAGGGTCACCATTAGGGTCAGTGTTAGCAGAAGGGTCAGCATTAGGGTCATTGTTAGCAGTAGGGTCACCATTAGGGTCAGTGTTAGCAGTAGGGTCACCATTACGGTCAGTGTTAGCAGTAGGGTCACCATTAGGGTCAGTGTTAGCAGTAGGGTCACCATTAGGGTCATTGTTAGCAGTAGGGTCACCATTAGGGTTAGTGTTAGCAGTAGGGTCACCATTAGGGTCATTGTTAGCAGTAGGGTCACCATTAGGGTCAGTGTTAGCAGTAGGGTCACCATTAGGGTTAGTGTTAGCAGTAGGGTCACCATTAGGGTCAGTGTTAGCAGTAGGGTCACCATTAGGGTTAGTGTTAGCAGTAGGGTCACCATTAGGGTCAGTGTTAGCAGTAAGGTCATCATTTGTGTGGATGTTAGAAGTAGGGTCACCATTAAGGTCAGTGTTTGCAGTAGGGTCACCATTTGGGTGGATGTTAGCAGTAGGGTCACCATTTGCGTTGATGTTATCAGTAGGGTCACCATTAGGGTCAGTGTTAGCAGTAGGGTCACCATTTGCATTGATGTTAGCAGTAGGGTCACCATTAGGGTCAGTGTTAGCAGTAGGGTCACCATTTGGGTGGATGTTAAAAGTAGGGTTACCATTTGGGTGGATGTTAGAAGTAGGGTCACCATTAAGGTTAGTGTTAGCAGTAGGGTCACCATTAAGGTCAGTGTTAGCAGTAGGGTCACCATTAAGGTCAGTGTTTAGCAGTAGGGTCACCATTTGGGTGGATGTTAGCAGTAGGGTCACCATTTGCATGTGATGTTAGCAGTAGGGTCACCATTAGGGTCAGTGTTAGCAGTAGGGTCACCATTACGGTCATTGTTAGCAGTAGGGTCACCATTTGGGTGGATGTTAAAAGTAGGGTCACCATTTGGGTGGATGTTAGAAGTAGGATCACCATTAGGGTCAGTGTTAGAAGTAGGGTCACCATGAGGATTGGCATTAGTCCTAGGAACAGGGCCACCATTACAGATGTGGGCTCACACTCAGGGTACAATTATCATTAGGGTCAGTGTTAGCAGTAGGGTCACCATTAGGGTCAGTGTTAGAAGTAGGGTCACCATTAGGGTGGATGTTAGCAGTAGGGTCACCATTAGGGTCAGTGTTAGAAGTAGGGTCACCATTAAGGTCAGTGTTAGCAGTAGGGTCACCATTAGGGTGGATGTTAGAAGTAGGGTCACCATTAGGGTGGATGTTAGAAGTAGGGTCACCATTAAGGTCAGTGTTAGCAGTAGGGTCACCATTAGGGTGGATGTTAGCAGTAGGGTCACCATTAGGGTCAGTGTTAGAAGTAGGGTCACCATTAAGGCCAGTGTTAGCAGTAGGGTCACCATTAGGGTGGATGTTAGCAGTAGGGTCACCATTAGGGTCAGTGTTAGAAGTAGGGTCACCATTAAGGCCAGTGTTAGCAGTAGGGTCACCATTAGGGTGGATGTTAGAAGTAGGGTCACCATTAAGGTCAGTGTTAGCAGTAGGGTCACCATTAGGGTGGATGTTAGCAGTAGGGTCACCATTAGGGTCAGTGTTAGAAGTAGGGTCACCATTAAGGCCAGTGTTAGCAGTAGGGTCACCATTAGGGTGGATGTTAGCAGTAGGGTCACCATTAGGGTCAGTGTTAGAAGTAGGGTCACCATTAAGGCCAGTGTTAGCAGTAGGGTCACCATTAGGGTGGATGTTAGAAGTAGGGTCACCATTAAGGTCAGTGTTAGCAGTAGGGTCACCATTAGGGTTAGAGTTAGTGGTTGGGTTAGGGGTAGGATTATCATTGGACCGTTTACTAATGTAAAGGGGGCTCTTATGGGGCCCCTGATGTAAAGGGGGCTCTGATGGGGACCCTGATGTAAAGGGGGCTCTGATGGGGCCCCTGATGTAAAGGGGGGCTCTAATGGGGACCCTGATGTAAAGGGGGGCTCTGATGGGGACCCTGATGTAAAGAGGGGCTCTGATGGGGCCCCTAATGTAAAGGGGGGCTCTGATGGGGACCCTGATGTAAATGTGGGCTCTGATGGGGACCCTGATGTTATGGGGGCTCTGATGGGGACCCTGATGTAAAGAGGGGTTCTAATGGGACCCCTTACATAATGGGGGATCTGATGGCAACATCTGATTCGGACCCTGATGTAAAAGAGGGGCTCTGATGGGGCTCCTAATGTAAAGGAGGATCTGATGGGGACCCTGATGTAAAAGGGGGCTGTGATGGGGCGCATGATGTAAAGGGGGTTCTTATGGGGCCCTTTATGTAAAGGAGAATCTGATGGGGGACCCTGATGTACAGAGGATCTGATAAGGACCTTGATGTAAAGGGGGGTTCTTATGGGGCCCCTTACATAATGGGGGATCTGATGGGGACATCTAAAGGGGACCCTGATGTAAAAGGGGGGCTGTGATGGGGCCCCTGATGTAAAGGGGGGCTCTTATGGGGCCCCTTAAGTAAAAGGGGGATCTGATGGGGACCCTGATGTAAAAGGAGGGCACTGATAAGGCCCCTTATGTAAAGGAGAATCTGATGGGGACCGTGATATAAAAGGGAGGCTGTGATGGGGCCCATGATGTAAAGGGGGGTTCTTATGGGGCCCCTTATGTAATGGGGGGATCTGATGGGGACCTTGATTTACAGGGGGCTCTGATGGGGTGCCTGATGTAAAGGGGGTTCTTATGGGGCCCCTTACATATAGGGGGATCTGATGGGGACATCTAATGGGGACCCTGATGTAAAAGGGGGGCTGTGATGGGGTCCCTGATGTAAAGGGGGGTTCTTATGGGGCCCCTTATGTAAAGGAGAATCTGATGGGGACCCTGATGTAAAAGGGGGTCTGTGATGGGGCCCATGAGGTAAAGGTGGGTTTTTATGGGGCCCCTTATGTATCGATGGGATCTGATGGAGACCCTGATGTAAAAGGAGGGCTGTGATGGGGACCCTGATGTAAAAGGGGGTCTGTGATGGGGCCCATGAGGTAAAGGGAGGGTTCTTATGGGGCCCTTATGTAATGATAAGGACCCTGATGTAAAAGGAGGGCTCTGATGGGGCCACTTACATAAAGGGGGATCTGATGGGGACATCTGATGGGGACCCTGATGTAAAAGGGGGGCTCTGATGGGGAACCTGATGTAAAGGGGGGTTCTTTTGGAGCTTCTTATCTAAATGGGGGATCTGATGGGGACCCTGATGCAAAAGGGGGGCTCTGATGGGGCCCCTGATGTAAATGGGGGTTCTTATGGAGCTCCTTATGTAAATGGGGGATCTGATGGGGACCCTGATGTAAAAGGGGGGCTCTGATGGGGCCCCTGATGTAAAGGGGGTTCCTATGGGTTTCATGTAAAGGGGGGCTCTGTTAGGGACTCTGATGTAAGGGGGACTCATTCATTTTTTTTGTCCTGCAATTATTTGCACAATAAGTGTGATCCATAATCCCCCCATCCACGTCTTGTGTGCACTCCACAGTATAACGATACAAACTCCACCAAAAACTGAAAATGAATCACTGAAATCCTTCGAGGTAAATCCACCCCCCAACCTTCTCAGTGCGAAGAATCATATTATTGTCATCTTACTGATTAAAAGTTCTCTCTTTAACCGCCTCCCACCTGCCCTATAGTACAATGACGGGCGCAAGGTGGTTCTCTCGTTCTGATAGGACGTCATATGACATCTTACCATTCTCACTGCGCATGCGCGGCTCAGGGAGCGTGCAGCGCGGCGATCGCCGGTGCGCTGTGTCCCTCGGACACAGCGGATCACGGAAAGAGCCGAAGATGTCGGCTCCGTCATGTGATCAGCTGTGTCCAATCACAGCTGATCACATGTAAACACGGAAATGCCGGTTATCAGTATTTCTCTCCTCTCGAGCGGTCACGCTGACAGAGGAGAGGAGAGCCGGTAATCGGCATTCCATGGAGGGGACATGTACAGTGTGCCCTGATGATCAGTGTGGCCCCAGAAGTGCCACCTGTCAGTGTCCATCAGTGCCAGCAGTCAGTGCTCATCAGTGCCACATATCAGTGCCTACCAATGCACATCAATGCCACATATCAGTGCCCATCTGAGCTGCCTTTCAATGTCACCCATCAGTGCCAATCAGTACCACCTATCAGTGCTGCCAATCAGTTCCACCTACCAGTGCCAGTCAGTGTTGCCCATCAGTGCGCATCAGTGCCTATCAGTGCCAGTCAGTGCCGCCTAACAGTGCCAGTCAGTGCTGCCTAACAGTGCCAGTCAGTGCCGCCTATCAGTGTCATGTATCAGTGCTGCCTTTCAGTGCCCATCAGTGATGTCTGTCAATGCCCATCAGTGCAATCTACCAGTGCCACCTATCAGTGTCCATCAGTGCAGCCTATCAGTGCCCATCACTGCAGCCTCATTAGCGCACATCAGTGAAGGAGAAAAATCACTTATTTACAAAATTGTATAACAAAAACTAAGAAAAAAACTTTTTTTTTTCAAAATTTTTTGTGGTTTTTGGTTTGTTTAAGAAAAAATAAAAATCCCCGAGGTGATTAAATACCACCAAAAGAAAGCTCTATCTGTTTTAAAAAAATGATAAAAATTTCATATGGGTGCAGTGTTGCATGACCGTGCAATTGTCATTCAAAGTGTGACAGAACTGAAAGCTGGAAACTGGCCTGGGCAGGAAGGGGGTAGAAGTGCCCGGTAGGCAGGAAGGGGGTAGAAGTGTCCGGTGGGCAGGAAGGGGGTAGAAGTGTCCTGTAGGCAGGAAGGGGGTGGAAGTGTCCGGTGGGCAGGAAGGGGGTAGAAGTGTCCTGTAGGCAGGAAGGGGGTAGAAGTGCCCTGTAGGCAGGAAGGGGGTAGAAGTGTCCTGTAGGCAGGAAGTGGGTAGAAGTGTCCGGTGGGCAGGAAGGGGGTAGAAGTGCCCTGTAGGCAGGAAGGGGGTAGAAGTGTCCTGTAGGCAGGAGGGGGTAGAACTCCCTGGTGGGCAGGAAGGGGGTAGAAGTGTCCTGTAGGCAGGAAGGGGGTAGAAGTGTCCGGTGGCAGGAAGGGGGTAGAAGTGTCCTGTAGGCAGGAGGGGGTAGAACTGCCTGGTGGGCAGGAAGGGGGTAGAAGTGTCCGGTAGGCAGGAAGGGGGTAGAAATGTCCGGTAGGCAGGAAGGGGGTAGAAGTGCCCTGTAGGCAGGAAGGGGTAGAAGTGCCCTGTAGGCAGGAAGGGGGCAGAAGTGCCCTGTAGGCAGGAAGGGGGTAGAAGTGTTTGGTAGGCAGGAAGGGGGTAGAAGTGCCCTGTAGGCAGGAAGGGGGTAGAAGTGCCCTGTAGGCAGGAAGGGGGTAGAAGTGTCTGGTAGGCAGGAAGGGGGTAGAAGTGCCCTGTAGGCAGGAAGGGGGTAGAAGTGCCCTGTAGGCAGGAAGGGGGGTAGAAGTGTCCTGTAGGCAGGAGGGGGTAGAACTGCCTGGTGGGCAGGAAGGGGGTAGAAGTGTCCGGTGGGCAGGAAGGGTGTAGAAGTGTCCTGTAGGCAGGAGGGGGTAGAACTGCCTGGTGGGCAGGAAGGGAGTAAAAGTGTCCTGTAGGCAGGAAGGGGGTAGAAGTGTCTTGTAGGCAGGAAGGGGGTAGAAGTGTCCTGTAGGCAGGATGGGGTAGAACTGCCTGGTGGGCAGGAAGGGGGTAGAAGTGTCTGGTAGGCAGGAAGGGGGTAGAAGTGCCCTGTAGGCAGGAAGGGGGTAGAAGTGCCCTGTAGGCTGGAAGGGGGTAGAAGTGCCCTGTAGGCAGGAAGGGGTAGAAGTGCCCTGTAGGCAGGAAGGGGGTAGAAGTGTCCGGTAGGCAGGAAGGGGGTAGAAGTGCCCTGTAGGCAGGAAGGGGGTAGAAGTGCCCGGTAGGCAGGAAGGGGGTAGAAGTGCCCGGTAGGCAGGAAGGGGATAGAAGTGCCCGGTAGGCAGGAAGGGGATAGAAGTGCCCGGTAGGCAGGAAGGGGGGTAGAAGTGCCCGGTAGACAGGAAGGGGGTAGAAGTGCCCTGTAGGCAGGAAGGGGGTAGAAGTGTTTGATAGGCAGGAAGGGGGTAGAAGTGCCCTGTAGGCAGGAAGGGGGTAGAAGTGTCCTGTAGGCAGGAAGGGGGTAGAAGTGCCCTGTAGGCTGGAAGGGGGTAGAAGTGCCCTGTAGGCAGGAAGGGGGTAGAAGTGCCCTGTAGGCAGGAAGGGGGTAGAAGTGTCTGGTAGGCAGGAAGGGGGTAGAAGTGCCCTGTAGGCAGGAAGGGGGTAGAAGTGTCCTGTAGGCAGGCAGGAAGGGGGTAGAAGTGTCCTGTAGGCAGGAGGGGGTAGAACTGCCTGGTGGGCAGGAAGGGGGTAGAAGTGTCCGGTGGGCAGGAAGGGGGTAGAAGTGTCCTGTAGGCAGGAGGGGGTAGAACTGCCTGGTGGGCAGGAAGGGAGTAAAAGTGTCCTGTAGGCAGGAAGGGGGTAGAAGTGTCCTGTAGGCAGGACGGGGTAGAACTGCCTGGTGGGCAGGAAGGGGGTAGAAGTGTCCTGTAGGCAGGAAGGGGGTATAAGTGCCCGGTAGGCAGGAAGGGGGTAGAAGTGTCCTGTAGGCAGGAAGGGGGTAGAAGTGCCCGGTAGGCAGGAAGGGGGTAGAAGTGCCCTGTAGGCAGGAAGGGGGTAGAAGTGTCCGGTAGGCAGGAAGGGGGTAGAAGTGCCCGGTAGGCAGGAAGGGGGTAGAAGTGCCCTGTAGGCAGGAAGGGGGTAGAAGTGCCCTGTAGGCTGGAAGGGGGTAGAAGTGTCTGGTAGGCAGGAAGGGGGTAGAAGTGCCCGGTAGGCAGGAAGGGGGTAGAAGTGCCCTGTAGGCAGGAAGGGGGTAGAAGTGTCCGGTAGGCAGGAAGGGGGTAGAAGTGCCCTGTAGGCAGGAAGGGGGGGGTAGAAGTGCCCGGTAGGCAGGAAGGGGGTAGAAGTGCCCTGTAGGCAGGAAGGGGGTAGAAGTGCCCGGTAGGCAGGAAGGGGGTAGAAGTGCCCTGTTGCCTAGTGGTTAAAAAAAAGTTCTCGGCCTGCAGTTGGCTGTGCACACGCCCGTCCACACTGTTGAAAAGCCGCAGTCCCCATAGAGATCCAGTGCGCTCTCACCTTCCATATTGGACTGAATACCACTCTGGGCGGAGTCTTTTTGTAGTTCAGCCCTGACCCCGACATCCTCCGACCCTCCAGATCAATTCTCTGGAGGAAAACAAAAACAGATCATAGAGCTTCCCGATCTAATAAATTGTGAGTCTCCGCCCCCCGACCAATAAACTCACATGCTCCACCTAAAACTGTATCCTGAGTTATAAGGATTCGGGGTATAGCTCAGGAATGTATGCACTATACATGTCACCATTATGGGGTAAGAGGGCACTTGAAGATATACACCGATCAGCTGTAACATTCTCACTGTATACAATGTATATATGTCCCCCAATATATATATATATATATACACGACTCAAAAAAATTAAAGGAGGACTTTGTAATCCGAGTCGCATCGAGTCAATGAAACTCCTGGGATGTGGATCTGGTCAGGTAAGTCGCAGAGGGGGTTGTTCATCAGTTTCAGCTGCTTTGGTGGTCATGAAATTACCAACAGGCGCACTAGATGGGTAACAATGAGACGACCCCCAAAACAGGAATGGTTTTACAGGTGGAGGATGTAGCAAACTAGCTCATCAGAGTGGGAGAGGAGTTCTCCTTTCCCATTTTTTCTCTTTTTATTCGAGATATTTCCCATTCCTCAGCCTCATTTCCTACCCCCCCCCCCCCCAGTCCTGAGAGGCAAACGTTATCTTCTGACAGATGGTGTGGGTCAACCAGGTTTGGTGCCAGTTGTCTGGGGGAAACATGTAACCTCTCTCACCTACGTCTGATAAGGCAGCATTTCTCAGAGAATTGGGAAGCACTGACCCCAAAACTGTGTAAGCCCCCACATCATAAAACAGATAATAGCTTCTCTCCCGGACTTAAAAGAGAATTGAACATTCCTCAGGTCAACTGTGTGTTTCATGTCATGGATTATGAGCTGTTAACTGAGTTTCCCACTGACCACTCCCAAAACGTGTAGTCAGAGCACCCCCTCCCCCCTTTGAGAGGGACTTTTAAGAAGAGACAAGTAGAGTTTTGATAGAGATCTCCCAGCTAACATCAAGGAGGAGATAAAGAATCATGTTGCTCCGCAACTTGGATCTGCAAACCCAGGCATATGGGCAAGTAACTTAACTCTTTAATTTCCTCCCTATTATCTCTGCTGTATCTTTATATACATATACGTATATATATTTTTGTGACATCTCTTTGTAAATATTTTATTGCACCTGTTTGACTCTTTTTGTAATAAATCTTTCTTTCTGAAAGTGTTAAACTGTTTTTAAGCGCTTACCTGCAATTCACGAATTCCTGCCTTTTGAAGAGACGCTATTGTGTTTGTTTACTCCCTGCCCAATTGACCATATTGGACAGGTGACTTTTCAATTAATATAGTGTATTTCTGACAGAGTCCGTCTTCTCTGTACATTTCAAGACGGTGGTGGCAGGAGAAGGGTTAGTTGCGTAATTAACCCGACTCAGTAACAAGAGCATTCAGGCTGCAGGCACCGATTGTAGCCCATTAGCTGGACAATCGCTGTGCAGGGTGCAGCTGGGTGGGGCCTTGTTACGTGCGTCACACCGCAGTTTTAGATCGGTCGGTCCTTCAGTCACGAGTTTGGTGAGAAGGTCTGGGGTCTGACGCCGCGGGCGGGACGTATTACTGTTAGTCGCGGTCGTGCAATTGTCGCAGGTTGGTGGCGGCGATCGTGGATCCGTGACAGAGGACACTGACATTTGTTCCCTCTTCATCTTTTCTGACTGTTTTTCACTAGTTTTGCATTTGGTTCGGGTCGGTGTCACTACTGGTAGCATGAGGCCATACCTGGACCCTACAGAGGTTGCACAGGCAGTCCAACTCCTCCAGGATGGCACATCAATACTGCCATTGCCAGAAGGTTTGCTGTGTCTCCCAGCACAGTCTCAAGAGCATGGAGGAGTTCCAGGAGACAAGAGCATGGAGGAGATTCCAGGAGACAAGAGCATGGAGGAGATTCCAGGAGACGAGAGCATGGAGGAGATTCCAGGAGACAGGCAGTTCCTCTAGGAGGGCTGGACAGGGCCATAGAAGGTCCTTAACCCATCAGCAGGACCGGTATCTGCTCCTTTGTGCAAGGAGGAACAGGATGAGCCCTGCCAGAGCCCTACA